CTGGTGGCTGTGCCGTCGTCTTCCAACTCGGCGATGGCTTCAGTCTCTCTATAAACGTGTGCATCACTGGTAAGGCATCAGGCGAAAACCTGTTGCAGCCCGACAAGCGCACGTTCTCTGGCTCGATCGAGCTGAAGGTTAGTTTCAACGTTAATGTGCCAGTCGTTGGTAGCATTATCAATTGGGCTATCACAGCTAAATTAGGCGTTACTGCTAAACCCAAGAACGAGATTACTGCTTATGGCAGTATCGGAACCAGCGTCTCTTTGTACTTTGCTGGTGCTGGTGTGTCGATCGATATCAAGGGCCACTCCGTGGATCACTTGGCTAATAAATGGGAGTTTGTCTCTGGTGTAAACTTCAACGCCTGGGTGAAGGTCTTCTTCTGGGGTAAATCTTGGAACCATCGTTGGGAGATCTGGCACGCCGGTCCCGTAACCTTTTAAGTACATTCTGATACTGTATATTGTCCAACTTTACCGGGATCAAACCCAAGGTTGATATCGGGCAGTCCCTCCCTATCACAGTGTAAATATTCATATTTCATTCTCTTCTACTTTCCTTTGCCTCAGTGAAGGCGTATCGCTTAATATTTAGTTACTAGATCGCTACTAAATTTCGGTAGCGATTTTGGTGACCATAATATGGTTCGGCATAATCTCAATGTCATGGAATGTCGTACCGGTGTGATGGTGGTTTTCAGTGGTCTGTGTAATGGTTATGTTTTATTGATGGTGGTTTTCAGTGGTCTGTGTAATGGTTATGTTTTATTGATGGTGGTTTTCAGTGGTCTGTGTAATGGTTATGTTTCATTGATGGTGGTTTTCAGTGGTCTGTGTAATGGTTATGTTTCATTGATGGTGGTTTTCAGTGGTCTGTGTAATGGTTATGTTTCATTCGGGTTCAATCGCTTTTCCGGTATTGTTTTTGGCAATTTCTGGTATAGGTGTTGGCAACCAAATGTTGAAAGTAGCAAATTTAAAAGTATTTTTCTAGCAAGTCGCTCTGCTTTGATCCTTTTTTTGCTGAATTGTATATTCCCCCGGAGTGTTGTACACGCTGGCACTTTTGCCCAAGTGTGCTTCGCCCGCACGTTTTCGTTATTCTGGCAAGTTGTGCTCATTTGCTGTTTGATATGTTTTGCGTTGTAATTATAAAGTCTGGCATTTTTCAAGGTTTGCTCTTGTGGGATGTTCCTGCATGAAATATACAACTTGGCAGATGCCGGTATGTGACA